TAACTGCACTTGCGGGCCTCGGCCTCCCCCGGGGAGGGGAGGAGGGGGGGAGGCGGAGATATGAAGTATAACCCAACGAGTCCATCTCTATCGAAGAAAAGAGTCTTAAGATATGATTAGCAATGAATCCATAGCGTCAGCGAAGGCTACCGGTATTTCCACGATATCCCCAGCAGCACACAAAGATGCCTCCGCTGTGAGTAGCAGGCTCAACAAAATAGTCTAGTTTCTGTTTCATATTTTTGGGGGGCGGCGAAGTATTCGGCCCTAGCACACGTACAACTGTACGAAAAATAGTAAGTACAGCAGTACAGGATGGAGGTACGTACTAAACCCCCAGTACAGAGTACCGTGAGCCAAATACTTACTAAAATACAGGAAAGTACGTACTAGACTATACTAAATGGACCCTTGAAAATTTCCCCGGCTGGTGCTGCTGCTGCTGATTGTAAGAAGCGTTTGAATAGAACGACGCCGAGATAGACGAAAACATGGTCGAGCGCCACACTGTTTTTTTCCAGGTAAACTCTTGCTCGCCCTTGACTCCACATGAAGAATCAGGCGGAGGCTCATGCGTGCGATTCTTGTTGGATGATCGGCACTGCGGCAGCACTGCAACATTATAACCACAACATCTACATCTGATGTTGTACATCTTGAAGGCCCGCACGCAGAACAAGGGCAGCCTACAGCTAGCTGTATGTGGAAGCCGAACAAGGACGTGAAAGACTGGGTACAACCACAGGAGATTTGCGACGTCTCGCCGCTCCACATCCTGTTACGCCCTGTTCCGCCCATCGATGTAGTTTCTCCGCTCTCGCTATTGGCGTGTTACACAAACAGCAGGAGATGCTGCCTTCTACAGCAGTATGCGCACAACCCCTCTGGAAACCGAGTCGCTCGAATCTTCCGCCGAAAAAATCCGGAAAGGAGACTGCTTGTTCCGGATCAGGATATGCCAACGTTCGGCAAGTTATTTACAGGGAGGAGTACCCTTCTCGCGATAAAAATATCTCAGGCAGGAACCGCAGGAGGGGGACCAACCTCCCTCTCCTATTTGACCCCGGTTGGGACGTCTAGCTGGTAGAAGTGGAGGATAGGGGCCAGAGGGGCCAGAGGGGCAGACGACAGAGTCCAATGATAGGAGACCAGAAAACCAAAAAAAAAAAAATTGCGAGGAGTATTCCGAAGAATAATCTATGTTTTGGTATCCGCCTGGCCTCTATGTTTTGGTATCTGCCTGGCCTTATGGGTGACAAGAGCGGCATGAGTCGGTGCAGACGTATCTTCCTCAAGACGACGGGCGAGTACTGACTGGGACGACTGATAGAGAGGGTAAGTAGTGGCCAGCTCGAGAAGCGTCCGGTAAAAGACAAAAGGAAATCAAGTGACAGCCTTGAATTGATTCGCAACAACGGCTACGACATGATGACGTGAAAAATTGCGGATACTCTGATTACTCCGTAAGGACAAGAAGCACCAACCGCCAGCTTATCGTGTTTCCTAGAGCAGCACCACAACGCTAGCGTGTGTTGGAGCGGTTGCCTTGTCGGCAAGGGGGACACGAAAAGGCGGCGAGCAGATTTGCAACCAGATTTCCAGCGCATCCCTTGGTGCCTTTATGTAGGCACGCAGACCAGTAGACTCCATCCAGTAGTTGTGACGATTGCGCCGCTTTCGAGGCATGCACCATTCGAGCTGCCACTCATCCCCGCAGCCCGGAGAGCTGCAACCGGTCGGTGTATATCATACACTCACAGCAACATGAGACCGCACGTCCACACGGGGCTGCCTGCCTGTTTCCTCAACCACCATCTCGACAGGTAATTGTGTGTGGGTGCGTTCAAGTTCAACTTATGCATACACGCATTACGCAGTGGACAAACGTGTCCGACACAAGATAGCACACCCCCCGCACTGATTTTGGAAGCTCGATGTATCAACAGCAGAAAGAGTCCCAGTGCCAAAACCGGCGGCGTTGAAGCCGCCGCCTGGTTGAGAGCTCTCCGAAAAGCTTTCGCTTTGTCTATGTATCCTCTTCGTCCGTGGAGTATTCGAGCTGTGAAAATCGGTCCGAGCTTTGTTTTTGTTGCATTCAGAACTGCTGTGGTTGTTGTTCGTTTGTGGTGCTTGATACAGCCGCTAGACGTCTAATATAACCTCTTCTTTGAACTTTTAGATCACGTACCAGCGATGCTTTTATCCCTAAATGGAAGCACCCACGACCCCACTTGCATCCAAAAGGAGAGCAGTTAGTGTAGGTGGAAGCATCGGAGGTTTGACCTCCATGCGTCAACTATGGGGCGAGAGCTACGAATGGATTTGTACTCTTTGACGCACGGCGGTGGTGACGCACGTTGTGGCAGATTGATACAGAGGTTGTCCACACCATGCAACCCGAAGTACATCACCAACCAGACCAGCTCAATCGCACCACATTCCGAATCTCATCTGCAGGGCGTGGTACCTGTCGGTCTTGTCTTTCGGTCTTGCCTCTCGAAGTGGAACTGGAGAGAGATTCGCCGATGTTTTACCTGGTACAGACCTACGTGGTAACTAGGTTGGAAATAGAGAAAAATACTGAAGAATTGTTTTTTACGCCTCTTGCCCTCTCTCTCTCTCTCTCTCTTTCTCTCTCTCCGCGAAACTGGTGATATCCACCACGACCTCGACTCACGAGCGAATTTCCGCAAGAGATGAGCAGACACCAGGAGGACAGCTTTCGAGCTGTCTTCACCTTTAATAACTGTCCCGTTGTCCCCTCTCGATACTCGTATTTGTGGCAACGCGCGAAAGAGTCGGCACCTACAGCATTAGCCTAAAAGAACGTCTGCGGTCATCATGTGGGTCTATCTTGTTTTTATTGAATACTACCATATTACGACGTATGGACACAACGAAGCCATCGCCATCCATAGAAAATAGTCTAGGGTAGACTAGCTCTTAATTCATTGCGTCAGCGGACTCTACCTGTATTTCTACGGTTTCCCAAGCAGCACACAGCGGTATCTCCTGTGGGTAGGCTAAACCCCTTTGGGTCTACCTCTTTTTATTTTTGCGGCAATAAAAAAATGGGGAGAGAGTGCGGGGAGAGGCAGAAGTACAGTAGAGAAGACGAGTGCACTTCTGTAGACGCAACAGCTATCTCCACCCATCGGCCATGAGGGCTGCCCGCGACAGGACGCTGGACATAGACAGGGTCATAGAAGGGTTAATGCGTGGTCGCGGTGCGGCCAGTAGCGCAGTTTAGGCTTGTAGACCTCGAAAAGACCAGTCGTCAGGCCGCCTGAACCACTCTATTTTCAGTATATTCAAATGATCAGTGAAAATGATCAGTGAGGGGGCTTGTAGACTATCTCAGACCCATAATAGCTGGTTCTTTTACCTCTGTACTTCTCTGTCCCCTCCCCAATGTGCGACCTGCCGGCTCACTTCAGCTCCTGTGATTTTCCCACAATTCCCACAAGCACGCAAGCACACCACAGCACACACACCTACCTTTGCATCAGAGGCTCTCTAGGTTCGGGCGAGGGTATGTGTAGGGCTATGCTGATAGTGTATGTGTTATTACCTACTCTGCTGTAAACGTTGGACTCGTCTATACGGCTGCTGCTGTGTAGAATAGCCGCTGACATGATGACTATGCTGGATCTTGGGAGTGTACGATTTTCGAATTTGGAAGATATGCAGCATACCACGATATCCTGGCCTGTGTGGTCTTGAAGTGCCCCTTTTCGCTGTCCTCCTGTCTTTGCTTTGGTGGCTTCCTAGACTCGGGCGAGGGCATGTATGTGGAGCTATTGATGTGTGTCTTTGTGAAAGGATATGGGGAGAGATTCATGGTGGTATTCGCATTTAGAGCAGTGTGCATTTTTCTAATTTTGGCCGTTTCAGGGACCTTGATATAATATCCCGCTGGCACTAACGTCTTTTTATTGGCCACCGGGTAGCGCGGTCGATGCGAATAATGAGGACACACCTACCTATTGACTTGCCAACACCTGGCGTGGAGGGATACAGGGCGGCAACTCCATGGCATGCCACAGCACCAGCATGTACAAATGATCAATCAATGATCTGTCGGGACGCCTGTAGACCCAAAAGGGTTAACAAGACCTGTGGGTAGGCTTAACAAGACAGTCTGGTAGCCGTCGTTGTGCATCTCTCTGTATGCTTTGCTGGAAAGTTGTAGAAGGAAGCCTATCTTTGCAAATCAGCAAGCACACCGCCCCTTCGCAAAAGCGAGGAAGCAGTAGTCAAGGGCAGCAGCAACAGCGCAGCGGTACAGTCGAACCTCTGTTAAGGACGCACATCGTTGTGGATATTGTATTGCGTCCAAGCGTCCTTAACTTTCAGGGTACGATCGGTCACCATCCCCGGGGTCAGCGGAGGTGTTTTATGCCTTAAACGACGCGTATTTTGCAGGAGAGGTCAAACCCACGACTCGACAGCATAAATGGGGCGACGAGAACCCGAAGTTTTCGTGAAACCCATGGCTGTTACAGAAATATCCCAACTTCCCCGATTGCGTAATTTATCCGACGATGTGCTGCACGTCTCGGGTCTACCACAACCACTCACTGCCGTCTTCCTCTTCGCTCGATCCGTCATCGATTTGTACGTCGGCGAGGCACTGCTCTTCCACGTGGATTTCTAGTTCTATCCATTATTCCAACGCCTCCGGGTCGTCCTCTACACCGAGCCTCTCTGCTGCCCGGAACCGTCGTTGCCGATGCCTCGACCACAACCAATGCATCACCCGACCACATGGGCACCGGTGTGCATTTCCGTTACGGCGGCAGATTTCTTCGGGTACGTCGGTTGTCGACATGTCATGACACTGGATGCAGACGAACCGAGAGTAGGTGGTGGGAATCTTCCATACTGCTGTGCCCACGGACCAGCAGCAGACCGTACTCACGTTGTCCGCCGCGGATGTATACAAATGTATACACAGCAGGCAGCAGGTGTGTCTCTGCCATGCGATAAACACGCGATCCCCAAAGGTATTCGTCTGCGGGCCCCCTACTTACATTCTGCGGGCCACCCTGCTTCTGAAAAGAAGTCCGTCCTCACTAGAAGGAGCGTCCCAAAAATGTGCGTCCTTGATAGAGGTTCGACTGTAATCGGAGTCGCAAACAGTAGGGTCAGGCGGTGCTGCCAGGAGATCAATGAGATCCGCGGGTGGTTGATTTTTGTTTTTTGCAAGTTCAGTGATATTTCTTCCTTTCCCCACGCGGGTCCACGAACAAACGCTCAAAATTTAACGTGCTGTGTGCGTCAAGTGGGGATTGCTCGAGACATGCGTCTTGCCGAGATTCGAGCTCTCGAATTTGCCGCTAAATTTAGATGGATTTCGAGGGGGCTACAAAACGTTGTAGAGGCACTGCTGCATGCATAACGTATATGACACAAGGTAACACACCCCCTGGACCGATTTTTCAAATCTTGATTTCTCAACAATAGCAAGAGTCACGGCGCCGAAAACGGCGGCGTTGGAACCGCCTCGTCGAGAGCTTTCCAAAAATGTATCGTTTCGTTTATGCATCCTCTTGGTCGTGGAGTAATCGAGCGTTGAAAAATGGTCCAGGGGGTGCGTTATCTTGTGTCATATACGGTAGTCTACTGATGTAGGCCACCACGGGCAACCCGACGAGTTGACTGACGAAAAAGACACGAATGGCGTCCAGGTTGTGCTATATGTGCCAATGTATGTAGGCAGAAATCGTCACTTCCCGCTGTCATGTACCCTCCGCTTCCGTGAACAGAAATCGCAATTTCTCCCCGATGCTTCCTGTCCCCTCCATGTGCGTATTCGATGTGCGCATTCATCGGATTTTTTTTCAGTAGTAACAGTATTCTTCTATGGTATCTGCTAGGCCCGCCATAATCTGCTTCTTAAGGGTATTTGTTTCCAAAACATCACCAAGGCAAGAACGCGTCCCATATTTATCAGACGGTGGAACCTCCTAAAACTCCTCGCTTCTACTACTGGTGTTGCAAACAAATACCGAAAGGGTGTGCACTAGCGCCCAGAATGGATAAAACAACGCACACATGCTAGCTTGCGGGAAAGAAGAACAAGTCATTGGAAACGAGCCTCGCTCGAGGCTCATTTAACCTTGTTTTTGCTATCGTCGTCGTTTAGGTTTTTTCGTTGTAAACTCCACCCTCCTGTTCTCGCCACCTTCTCATTTTGAATAGGTATCTTCACGAGGCGGGGAGTCGGGAACGAAGAAATGGACTTGAGACGAGGCCCGAGGCTATCTCTATAGGAAAACACACGCGCACAGCCTCTCCCATCTATGGTGATAATTCGAGAAGTCAACAATTGTTGTGACGAATGAAAGTCACCAATATCGTAATCACATGGCCCGAGGCTATCTCAATAGGAAAACACACGCGCACAGCCTCTCCCATCTATGGTGACAATTCGAAAAGTCAACAATTGTTGTGACGAATGAAAATCACCAATATCGCAATCATGATATTTTTTTCAAGGGAAAGGGAAGCGAGGTGGCGCCATTTCGGCCTTGAGGCTTCGGGCTGCGTATCCGCGGTTAACACCCTTTGTACGTCTCTCGTTGAGTGAATGGTCACTGTTTTTCTTCGCTTTTTTGTATCGCTCAATATTTTTGTTGTGAAGGTGCCGACTGAAAATGGCTTGCACCCTTCTTTGTCTCGTTCGTTCTGCTGCCAACGCGTCGTTGCGAGTCTTTTTCTTACTCAGCATCAGAACACGGTCGGTGTGAATCTGAAACGCCCGCCTGCTTTCCTTGTTGGCGCTTTCTTCCCTTCCCGCTATTAGATCTGGACGCCGGGCTACTGCCCCTACCTTCGGAAAATCCGGGAGTTTTTGACACTCGAATCACGTTCCTGTGAGGCCTTTCAGCGCCGTGGGGAACCTCGTTGATCATGTGAGTTGGACGCTAGGGGTTTATCGTGAGCCTTGGCCCGCCTGAAGATAGAGAGCCTTTTGCTGCCAACACCGTTTCCCGTCGAAACAAGAGAGGGATTTTCGCATTTCACTACTACTTGCAAGTGCTTCAAACCTGCTGCCGGGTTGGCAGTGGAAACCTTGAGTGAAAGAAGCAAGAGTTTTGGAGCATGAGCTGGCGGGGGTCGAGATCTTTTCGGCAACTGTATCGCCGAGAACTGAAGCGCGTAGCTGCGTGTCTCGGTGGATCATAGAATGAACGTCGAATAGATTAGATCCATCATGGCGACTTCAAAGAGGCTTCGGAATTTTTGCCGATGGTCTCACAAGCGTTGCGGTTGCTCGTCGAAGAGAACACTAGTTAGTAGTCTCGGGCGAGCAGGGCTTTGTGCGTGGTGCGTGGATTGGAGTCTCGTACGTGGTGCCTTGGGTGATTTTTCTACCCTGTGGTAGCGAGTGCATACCCCCCCCCTCGGGCCGGCTCTAGTACTCATGGTGCGCCTGCAGGTTTTTCACGGGTCGGATTATAAATTGTTGTTGGATAGTTTTTCTGGGCACCATCACGAGCAAAATATTTGCGGGGGTTTACAAAAGTTTTTCGCTGAAGTCGTGCTCTTGCAATTGCCTTGTTTCGGAGAGCACGCTTTGCCGAGTGGGTGTTTACTTGTCCGCGAGTACATCGGGAGAAACAGCTCATCGCTTCGACGAACCCGAGCGACCAAACACGTACAAGATAGACTTAGCTTTGACATGCGCAGCGATTACGTTCAGCGCGCTGGCGAAACGGTGGCAGCCGGAGACCGATGATGTCTCGGCGTGTCCGTCCCCTGTTGCCCACAGTGTGACATGTGTGGCGTCGGCCCGACCTGCTGGCAGTCCGCCTCGCAGGTCCGATCGACTGGCCCGTCTTTTATTTACATATATATATTTCTTAGAGCGATTTTTTTTCTTGATCTTTTCAGAAGCCGACAATCCGATGCCGGTTAGGAGGGTGCGCGTATCGGAGGTGAAGGTCGGGTGAGTTCGGGTTGGGCGAACGCGGGGAGCGTTTGTTGGCCATGTTCGTCGCAAACTTCTGAAATTCTATGCGGATGCGCTCAGCAGAAAGCCCTTATCACTTTCCGTGGCCAACTCCATGCGTAGACTCTCACGTGACATGCGCTCAGACCCTTGATCCACGATCAAGAGTCTTCCCTTTAGGAGACAGAGCGTATCGCACACCAGCCGCGGCGCCCTCGATCCCTACCGGACGCGTGTCTACCAATAAGAATCTGTTGATTGGGCAGAAGAAGTTCGAAAAGCAGCAAGAGGGGAGGGAGGTCCACATGCGCAAGAGGCTCGCTACCCCACGAACAGCAACCGACCGCCCCGACGATAGCCTAAAACAGCTCCAGAACCTTTTCGCAGCCGCAGAGCGCCTGACTCCGCACTCAGCACGCATCATGCGTCATGTACTATTATAGTAACACGATAATGTCGGGTGCGTTGTTGGTCCGCGGTCTTCACTGCCTTTTCTGCACGGTCAGCATTGTGTTCAACACACGAGGCGCTTAGGTTATGTTCGCGAAATACGGGGGGGGCATCGAATTACACACGAGCGCCGTCACGGGATGTTGGAGCTGCTCACACAGCACGTGGTAGTTTTTCTTGCGTTGATGCTTGACCTTTTTGTGTTCATGCAGCGTTGTTCATCTCGCTTGTCTTTCCTGTTTTTGCACGGCAGAGAGAAAAAACGATGCTTGGATGATGAAAAGCAAAGCAAGGGAGAAACAGGTCTCGCATACCCATGCATTCCCTCCACTTTCCAAGCAAGGGCGGCGTTTTTGCCCTTCCGTTGCCTGAGTCGAGGACGCGTTGACTACATGGTGCAAACTGTCGGGGTTCGCAGTGACAATAAACTGTTGAGAAGAGATCTTGACTGCGCCAAAATTACGACACTGGCATTTACGGAACGGGTATCGGCACCTCACCAAACTCGAAGCATGAGTTGATCCTGGAGCGGGCGAGTTGATGCTTTTTGTCTGCGCACACCAACTGCTACAACGGCCCAGTTCCTAAGATGATCGAAGCCAGGTGAGGAATAAATAGAGTCCAATCGGAGAACCCACAAGTGCAACTCCCACCGACCACATTTGTCGGCACGAATTGTCCCTTGTCAGACACGACAAAGTGGGGGGGTGTTCCGTGTGATCATCTTTTTGCCGTCACCTTTTTTTTCACTGCTGCAGGATCCCATCGACCACGGAAGGATGGACGGAAGAGGAGCACAACGGGTTCCTCCACGGTCTCGAGGTGTACGGCTACGGAAACTGGGACGCTATCGCGGCCTTCGTTCCCTCTCGCAGCCCGTCCCAGATCGAAGCCTTCGCTCAGCAGTTCGTTGCGCAAGGCGAAGCAGTTCAGCATCCTCAGGTTTGTGTGCGCATGGCTGCTAGAATTTTACACGGCCCCCTGTTCCTGTTGTTGTTTGCGGTTACGGTTCTAGTCCCCGAGAGAGAGAGAGAGAGAGAGAGAGAGAGAGAGAGAGAGAGAGAGAGAGAG